AGTGTGTCCCTTTTCCCCAGAACAGCAATGGATGATGCCTCCTGAAAAGTAAAAGCTGAAGATATAGGCCCACAAAAGGGACTGGCTCACAAAGTTGAAGGTCACTCATTGGCTTCTCCTGCAATAGAAGGGATAAGCAACACTTCTTGGCCTGAATGGCCAGGGCCAATCAGGGCAGACTGAGTGAAAGATAAACTCTTTCCAAAAGAGGGGGGTTAAGTGTGGGGAGAGCATATATATTCTGAGAAAACGTCTTATAGCGTAGTGGAATGCAGGACGGTGCCATGGTGTATTAGTCCACTTCTGTTGCTTATAACAGAATACCTGAAACTGGGTAATGTATAAAGAAAACGAAATTCATTCTTACAGTTTGGAAGGCTGGGAAGTCCATGGTCCTGGAGGCGCATCTGGTGAGGGCCTTCTTCCTGATGGGAACTCTCTACAACGACGCAGGGTATCTATCACATGGCAAGAATGGCCCGAGCAAGAGAGCTAACCTTCCCGCTCGCTCTCTTTATAAAGTCATCAGAACCATGCCCATTACTCCATGAATGGATCAATCTACTCACAAGGGCACAGTCCGCACTATCTAATCACTTCTTAAAGGCCTCACCTTTCAAATAGCATAATTGTATTTACCACCCTCTTAACATTGTTACAACAGGGATCGAGCTTCAATGAGTTTTGGGAGAACATTCAATCCACAGCACATAGCTAATAGCATGACCATTAGTGTGGTCATTTATGGGCTGTGTGATGTTACAAAATTATTTTTTCTCTCTAAACCTTGGTTTCTGCATACATAAAATGGGACTAATAAAGTATTTCTTTCATTCAAAGGCAGACTTTTAAAAATATTTCGGTGTTTATAAAATCGGGATATCTTATAATCCATGCTGTTTTATATTAAATGTATGCTAGTGATTACCTTCTAGGTTTGCTGTGAGACTGAAAGGTGATCGTGCCTGTAAAATTCACTTCACTGATGGGGATTCTCCAGTGACAGAGAATGGTCTTTACTATTAGATGGCAATATCACTTGCAAAATGTGCAATTGTGATATAGAACAAAAGTTCTCAGAGGGTATGGGGGTGGAATTTAAAAGCTTCATCCAGAATATTTATATCATAGTCTAAAATGACAATTCATATCTTCTGAAATGTAGCAGAGGCATGCTCGAATTGTGAGAATACAAGATTTTATGTATATTAGTAAGACATGGGTTTGTGTATGTGTGTGGACTTACTTTGTCCACAAATCTTCAACTTGGGCAGAGCTCAGCTGCGATAGCTCCCTTTTGCTCCAGGAGATGCCAGCTCAAATAGGGCTGGAGGATCTGCTTCCAAGATGGCCTACCTATATGTGGGTCATGATGTTTTAGAATATACTATGTAAAATTTTTTAATTTTTTTTTTCCTTTTTGTCTTTTTTTTACTGACCGGTAACGGGATCATGACCCTTGGTGTTGTAAAATTTTTTAATTTTTTTTTTCCTTTTTGTCTTTTTTTTACTGACCGGTAACGGGATCACGACCCTTGGTGTCGTGCCCGTACCGGGGACCGGCAACAGGATTGCAACCCTCGGTGTTGCGCCCGCACCACGCTCAGCCAGTGAGCGGGAACCGGTCTCCACATGGGATCCGAACCCTCAGCGGGAGCACCGCCGTGCTCCCAAGCAGCGCACTCTCCAGTGCGCCACCGGGCCGGCCCAAAATTTTTTAATTTTAATATTTATTTTATTGAGGTCAGCGGGAGCACCGCCGCGCTCCCAAGCAGCGCACTCTCCAGTGCGCCACCGGGCCGGCCCAAAATTTTTTAATTTTAATATTTATTTTATTGAGGTATACATACCATAAAATTAACCAGTTTAAAATTACATTTTGATGATTTTTTAGTAAATTTATACCGTACAACCATAACCATCATCCACTTTTAGGAAATTTCCATCACCCCAAGAAGTTCCTTCATACTTTTTAGCAGTTAATCCACTCTTGTATTCCCAAGCCCAGGCAAACACTGATCTGCTTTATTTTGGTGTTTGTAAATTTGCCTTTGTTGGAAATTTTGTGTAAATGAAAATCATATAACATGTAGGTCTTTTGCATCTAGCTTTTTTTCACTTTGCTTATTGTTTTTGATGTTCATCCATGTTGTAGCACGTATCCGTAGTTTGTTCCTTTTCATTGTTTAATAAAATTCCATTGTATGGATATACCATATTCAGTTTATCTATTCACCAGTTGATGGACATTTGAATTGTGTTTAGTTTCTGTCTATTATGAATAATTCTGCTATGAACATTCACGTACATGTGTTTGTGTGGATATGTGTTTCATTTACCCTGAGTAGATTCCTAAGTGTGAAATTGCTAGGTCATATGGTTATGTTTACAGTTAACATTTTAAGAAATTGCCAAAGTGTTTCTCAAAAGTGGTTGCACTGTTTACATTCCCAGCAGCAGTGGATGAGGGTTCCAGTTTTTTCATATCCTTTCCAACACTTGTTTGTCTTTTATTTTACTTTATTTTATTTTTTTGGCATCTGGCTGGTATGGGGATTGAACCCCGGACCCTGGTGTTATCAGCACCATGCTCTAACCAACTGAGCAAACCAGCCAGCCCATTTTGTTTGTATTTTTAATAAAACACGTTCTTTTCTAATTGTGATAAAAAAAAAAACATAAGATTTACCATCTTAACCATTTCTAAGTATATAGCTCAGTTGTGTTAAGTGTATTCACATTGTTATGCAACCAGTCTCGCAAAACTGAAACTCTATGCCCATTAAACAACTCCCCATGCCCTGCCATGCCCCCAGACACTAGAAACCACTCCTCTACTTTCTGTTCCCATGCATTTGACTACTCCAGATACCTCATATAAGTGGAATCATACAGTATTATTTATTTTTTGACTGGCTTGTTTCACATAGCATCATGTCTTCAAGGTTCATCCATTTTGTAGCATATATCAGAATTTCCTTTTTTTTATGACTGAAGGCATGGATTTTTTAAAGGCTAAGTAAGCAATGCTGTATTTATCATTTTTAGAGTTAAGCAAAGTCTCTCTTGTAGTTCTGGTTGCAGGGGAGGGAGAGGGAAAGAGAAGAGAATGGAAAGGGAAGGAGAAGAATATTGGGGAATAAAGGTTCTGAAAAGCAGAAAGAAGTACAGAAAAGAATTAGGAATATACATTTTTATCCCAGTTTTTCCCAGGATGAACCTAACCAGCAAACTCTCTTTGGCAGTAAGAATTAATCACCTTTCTCTGCCTTCTCACAAGATTCTATATATACATATACATGTATGAGTGTATAGATGTATATATACACACGCATATATATATATATATGCACACGCATATATATATATATATATATATACACACGCATATATATATATATATATATACGCATATATATATATATATATATATACACACGCATATATATATATATATGCACACGCATATATATATATATATATATATACACACGCATATATATATATATATGCACACGCATATATATATATATATATATATACACACGCATATATATATATATATGCACACGCATATATATATATATATATATATACACACGCATATATATATATATATGCACACGCATATATATATATATATATATATACACACGCATATATATATATATATGCACACGCATATATATATATATATATATATACACACGCATATATATATATATATGCACACGCATATATATATATATATATACACACGCATATATATATATATATATATACACACACACTCCTAGGCTGACTGGCTTTTGGAGTCCTCATCGCTCTTAATTGATTGTAAAGCTGGGTCTGCATTTACTGCCTGTAATTAGATCTTGTTAGGCTTTGCAGAAAAGCATGACCAACCATGATTCAAGGCACTTGTAAATAAGTTTGTTTGTTAAAGGGCTGCATCATGCAGGCTTGTTTAACAATTTTTATATCATTAACATGTTTATTACGTGATTAAACTGGGGAGTAAAGTAACAAACATCCTTCTTTTTAAGTAAATTACAATATATTGTTCTGGATTACTTAAAGAATTAACAGAGCAGAGTACTTATGTATTGGTCTAAAGAATGGTCTTTGCTATTAGATGGCAATATCAGATGCAGAATGTGTAATTGCAATATAGAGCAAAAACGTCCAGAGTGACAGAGTATGGGAGTGGGATTGAAAAGCTTCATCCAGAATATTTATATCACAATCTAAAATGAAAAGACTAAATTTCTGGAAATGCTTGTGGAGAGTCGCAAGATTTTCAGGCATAGGAAAAAATTGTTAAATTGAACTGAAAAAAAAAAAAGGAGGCACTTGGCAAAAGAATAGAACACATCTAATAAGGGAATAAAATTCTCTCTGCATGTAACTTTCTGCTCAAAGACTATCACTGCCTTAAGCTTTTTTACATCAAAAGTTTGAACTGAATTGATTAAGGACGTTTTCACACAGAAACATTTTTTATTTTAGAGAAGAAATCATGGGGGGAAACTGCTGTATTGTTATTGTTGTTTCTTTGTGAAATTTTTTACACAAATGAAATCATGTACTATTTATATAATTTATCAAAACATGTTTTTCCTTGTTTTAACAAGGACTGTGAGCCCAATCAATGATTTCTAAACCTGTTTTTCAAGTATTAGAAGCCATTTTTCTAATAAACTCTAATGTGGATCCAAGCACAAGAGCAGCTAACATTTTTCTAATGAGAGCCATGTTCCCCACACTGTGTTAAATGCATCATGCATTACCTCGTTAATTGTTCATACAAGGTAGGTGCTATTAAACCATTTTTTTTGTATGAGGAAACTTATCCAAGTTCACTCAGATAGTTTAGAAAAACAGAGACACACTGAGCTATTACAATTTTAGTTGGACGTGACAGGGGTGACAGGCCTAGAGCCTCATCCACTTGTCCACCCATACCATTACCTGTCCCAGCTCCCACATTCCCAGTCCTAACATCCTGGGACTTCAGTGACATCCCTCTCTGCCTCGCACTGGGCTATCAGGAGCCCGTCCACTGGGCACTGTGCTGAAGAAAGGTGATATGGCTGTCCTATTTAAGAAGAGTTCTAGCTACCAAGGGCTGCTCAGAACTTTACTAAAATAAATTATGATTAGAGCCACAGAGTGCTTTTCTTTCTCATACCTCATCAATCAAACAAACAAAAATGTCTAAACACTCTTCTTGCTGTTCGGTCTCAAAACTGGTTTCTATTATCAATGACAATAAAATGGGCTATGAAGTGGACAGGACCAGTCTCAAAAGAAATTTAGGCCATAGAAAGGTACACATAACAGAAACACCCTTGAAGGAAGCCCATGTCATTCCTGAGAAGTTCATGGTTGGCCCTGCCACCACAGTGGCTCTCCACTCTGTGCCCTTCCCAAACCACAGTTCTGGCCTAACTTCAAATAGACACTCATTCAACACCGCATTCTAAACCTATGGAGACTTGTGGGGTACAAGGAAGTTCATGCATCAACCACAAGTTCCACCCAAGAATGGTTCCCCTGAAACCATGTAGCCTGTAGCTGGACAGTTACTGTGGGTAGGGTAAAGATGACATCTATGAGCCAACAACCCAGACAGCTGTTTGGAAAATATGTCACAATGAAGACCGCTTGAATTACATATGTGCCAAACACCTGTCCTGAGCCATTCACAACTCTCCTGACTGGGCACCACCTTCTTGTGATTCCGATTTTATAACTATGGGACTACCAAACCACAGGGGAAAAGGCTCTGTTGTACCTGAAGACCTTGGTGGCCTATCAGCTCAGAACTGTCCCAGGTCAAGTGACAGCTCTCACCAGCCCAAAGAAAGCACCCGCAGGTCAAAAGAGCTGGGAACACTGGGTGAGGTGGCCCTCTCCAGACAAGAAGGACTACTGCTGGACAGCACAGCCTCGAAGAGGCACAAGGAGAAAAGAAAGAGGATTATACTTGCCAAGACAAACACTTCATAGAGAAGAGGTGGAGGAGAAGCAAAATTGGTGGAGGAAAACCACACTGGCAATCTGCCAACTGTCCCCAGCTGCACCTGAGAAATCGGGTAATTTCTGTTCCAGAAAGAGCAGAGCTGATGGTGGTCTGGGCAGCACAGCCACTGCCAGCTGGCTTCACTCGCCCCACCAAGTTCATGGACTGCAGCCACTGGACTCCTGGCAGATGTCGTGCCACACACTGCCAGGACTGCCTGAGTCTTTTCACCGAGCCCTTTCTTTCACTCTGCTCTCTGAAATTTCGGGCTGCATCAGTGGGTCGATTCCTCCAAGGTCTTCGTAAACTGCCCGGTTGTCGCTTTGACTCTATCAAGATGTGCCTTGGTCCTCACGCCCTGTCTGGTCCCAGGGTGCTCCTTCTTGTCTCTCCCACTTGGTCAGCGATCATCTCCACAGACTCCTCCAATCTCTCAATCCCCTTAATTCAACCTCTTCCCTTTCCCGCTCGTGATCTGGGAACTACTCCGTATTCCAGTCGCTGACAATGGCTGCTCCGTACCCTGCGCTGATTTCCCCTTAAATTTGAGTTTCTGAAAGGCGGCGGAGTCGCCGTGGCCTCCTCAGCAAGCCGGGTAAGTGTCGGAGAACCGGCCTGTGTGCCCCGCCGCGGGTGACACGAAGGTCAGGCCCCTCGCTGCTGCGCTGCTGCGGGTGGAGGTCACGTGCAGCCGGCTTGGCCGCGGAGCACCCGCCAGTGGCCCAGAGGAGCAGCGCGGGGACTCCGGGGCTGGCGCTCCCGGTGTCCTCAGCCCCAGTCTGCGTCTGTAAACGGTGACTCTAGCTATTGCCACGCAAAGGGTGCAGAACTTCTGCCTTACAGGTGGTGGGACTGGAGGATTCTGAGGTCTTTCCTTTCTTGTTTGGAAAGATGAAAATACAGAAACGGCAACCTTGAGATGGAAGCTACAGACAGGGCTGAGCTCAGAAGAATCCAAGGAAAAAGAGTGACAGTCATGAGGCCCAAAGGTTCAAATCCCACTGAGGACAGAACTGACTTTTTAAAAGAAGTCTTATTGAGATGTAATTATGTAACCTAAAGCTTAACGTGTTCAATTCAATGACTTTAAGTATATTTAAGGAGTCCTGCAACCGTCACCATAATCTAATTTTAGAACAATTTCATCAACCCAAAAGGAAACCCCATACCCATTAGCAGTCGCTCTTCATTCCTGCCCAAACCTCCCCACCTCCCAGCCCTTAGCGAGCACTAATCTACTTTTCAACTCTGTAGATTTGCCTGTTCTGGGCATTTTATATAAATTGGATCATACAATATGTAATCTTGTGTGACTGGCTTCTTTCACTTAGCATGATGTTTTGGAGGTTCATCCATGTTGTAATATGTATCACTATTTTATTCCTTTTTATCACTTAATAATATTCCATAGTCTAGATATACCACATTTTGTTTTTCCACTTACCAGCTGTTGAACACTTGGGTCATTTCCACTGTTTGGTTACTATGAATAAAGCTGCTATGAACATTTGTGTACAAGTTTTTGCATCAATGTGTGTTCTCATTTCTGTTGGGTAGGTACCTACGACTGGAAATGCTGGGTCATACAGC